TAAGACATGCCCATCAACCAGCCTTTTCCAAATAGCACTATCTCCCAGTTTCAATAGACATCCCTGAAAAGATGCTATTTGAAAAGCCTGGGGTATTGATATGAATATGACTCCCCCCTTGCATCCTAGATATTTGGAACTATTTAAATGTGAGGGAACAGTTGCAGTGAACCTTTATTTAGTGAATAAAAGTTTAAAGCGGAAGGTTATTTATGGTTCTGCCAGAGATGGAACCTGAGTGGCTATTTACGAACACGTGATCCCAATAAACTTTGTTTTATGGCTTGAGAGTTGACAAGCCAAAATATAATTCCCACCATAAATTAGGTTAAGAGCATACAAGTGCAGATGGTTGGTTCCTGAAGCAGCAATAGAAAAGTGAGAGGCTCCAGCTAGCGCCGGGCGCAGGAGACAGGTCTGCTCCCAGCTCCCCTGCCCACTAGGAGAGAAAACCAGTAAGTCACTTATTACTTTTTCCAGGACAACTCCAGGGGTGGGGGATTTCTCTGCCCCATCTTTTCCACCTGGTGTGGGGAGAAGTCCCCTGGAAGTTAATTTTAATTTTAGCTTAAACCTAAATCAAGAAATAGGATGGAAATCCTGGTTTTCTTCTCTCCCTTCTAGACATAGAAAGTTAGGAATTGAGGGCTCCCACCTCACAAGAGGGACTTTCTGTCTCTCTCCTCCTCCTAATGGGGCATCCGCTTCTGAAGTGGAATAAAACGGGTAGTCTAGGTGGACAGAGAGAAAGGATAAGGATGGAGATGGCTCTGCCTTTGTGATTTCTCAGAGAAGACTGCCATCCCAGAATAAAACTAGAGGAGACTGAAAACTTAAAGCTGGACACCAGCCCCTGTGAGGATCACTGCTTTGTAAGATCGCTTTGTGGGTCCTCCAGCAAAAATGCTGACGAAATGATGTCATATCCATAGAGCTGGATAAGAGTCTAAAGCATTGCCATTTACCTTTAAACCCATCGGTTTTCCTCTTCCTTGATTATCATTTGGGTCCTCATTTCCCTTGGAAATTGCTCTTTGTTTTGAATTAGAGCAGAAGTGGGAAGGCAAGTCCTAGCCTTGTCTGGTACTTCTTTGGGAAGGAAAAGACAGTTTTAGGGGAGCGCTGGTTGGAGCTGGGGAATTTGAAACCAATCTGAAATTGGAAAAGGGGTCTGAGTTGCTCCTAGCGCGAGACAGACGGGGAGCTGGGGCTGGGGACAGATGCAGCGGCTAACCCCCTCCCCAGTGGACCTGCGCCCACCCCGCCGATTGTGCAGAAGAAAACACACAAAGGCCCGTTTTCTCCTCGCTTCCCGTTTTCCCACGGGGAGACCCTGTTACAGACAGCCTGAGTCGGGCCAAGCAAAAAGTAAGGTTTTGCTCAAGGGGTGCATAGAGTGGGGGAGGTGATGGGGGCCATACTCTCCTACCTCGTGGGTCTGCCCTTGAGCACTGCAGTCTCCCGCTCCGCGCGCGGAGAACTTGGCGCAGTTCCTGGGGGCGGGCGTCCGAAGCAGGAGGGAGGTCTGGGTATTGGCGGGGTGTCTGGGCCTTGTCATTTTTCTGTGTATCATCTATCTTTATTATCCTGTGGAATTTAAGTGACCCCCGTTTTCATTGCAACAGGTTCGGGACCGTGAGAAACCGCCGCTGTAAGTACCTTCCCGTTTCTTCCGAATCGAGAAGGGGCGGTATTGATAACTGGGGTGGTAGGGGCGAAGGGCCGCGCCAGGGGAGTGGGCGGGTGGAAGAGCAGCCCTGCCTCCCCAGGCCTGACTGTGAGAGGGGAGCTCGAGCTGGAGGTGGAGGATCTAAGTTGGACTCTTGGAAAAATTTTCTGGGGCCTGGTTTACAGTCACCTAAAGTAAGGGAACGGGCCGCGGCCTCTCGCCCTTGTCTCCTTGGACCTCCCTGGACTTTCCCGGCCTTCCCAGGCCTCCCCAGCTCGCACAGGTGCAGCTCCGCCGCAGCGAACGCGTCTGTGAAGAGCTTGCAGCTAATTAGCAGCCCGCCCTATTAACAAGTCGCGGCGAGCATCGCTTTCTGCTCGAATCAACCTGCTGAACACCCAGGCAGCGCTATCCCCCTTTGCCGCCCAGCCCAGCTCAACCCGGTTCAGCCTGGAACAACCTTCTCTAGTTTTTTGTAAAAAGAAAACAAACAAAAAAACCGCAACCCTCTGTGGCTGCGGGTGTGTGGGGTTGGCCGGCTTCCGGGAAGGGCTGCGAATTCTGAGCTTTACGTGGAAGTCCCTCCTCCCCCCTCCCTAGGCCCCAGCCCCAGCCGCGGCGGTTTAGGCCCTGGGTTGGGGAACTGCGGCCGAGCGAGGAGGGAGGGATACGGCCCTTCTAGTTCACCTCTGCTTCTCTATAACTGCAATTTGAGAATTTCTGCGCCTGAGCCGCTAGCGTTGCAGGCAGACGTGGCGGGGGTGGTGGTGCGGGGGGGGCAGAGATTTTTGGGGTCTTGGGCCTGGAAGTTTGGATCTTTCTGAGTTGCATATGCCGCAGAAGACAGGTACATTTCTGAGGAGGCCTGTGAAATCTCCAGGAAGGCTCTCTCATTAAGATGATGGTAGTGGGGAGAGAATCAAGGAAAGACCAGTGGCCCCTCCCTCATGCAAAACGGAGCTGATTTTATTTTCATAGGAGATGGAATGTGCGAAGATGTTAGGAACCAGGCACCCTCCCTCCCTGGTGAGACATCCTCTCTCTAGGGTCCGGGAAGCTAAGGCTTGGCTCTGGGCCAGGTTTCTGCCCTCCAGGCTGGGCAGCCTAATCGACTCCATGGGGGCTGTGCCCACCCCCCAGGAGTGGAGGTTCCGCCCAGTACATAGTTCACCTCTATGAATCAGGCTGTCTCAAGTGAAACAGGGCTCAGGGCTCCAGGCTGGAAAATCCAGTGTCCCCAGGAACTCCTGGTCTTGCCCTCTTCCTGAGGCTGCCCTGGCTCTGGGTGCTTATCTCTGTGGATGCTCCTTGCTTGCAAACCCACGATCAGCACCCTGTAGCTGAACACAGCACAAAAAGCCGGAGACATCAAAAGCATTTGTATGGGCAGTTGAGCGGGAGGTGAATATTTAACGCTTTTGTTCATCAATAACTCATTGGCTTTGACCTGTCTGAACAAGTTGAGCAATAAGGTGAAATGCAGGTCACAGCGTCTAACAAATATGAAAATGTGTATGTACCCTCACCCGGCTCCCCACCTGTCCCAGCAGGCTCCCCCAATTTGTCTGGATAAAGCCTAGGCCCAAGGTCCCCAGGAAGGCAGGTGTGTGGGAGCTCTTGGCATTAGAGAAAGTTGGGGGGAGCCCCCCTGGGACAAGGGGGCTGGGTGTGGGGCAGCCTCAGAGCTCTTGTTAGAATTGGCACCCAGGATATCCCTACAAAATAGCCAAAGCACTGGAACCAGAGGATGGCGGTGGGGGAGTGAGCAGGGAGCGTGCACAGTGCAGAGCAGGAGAAGCCAGCCAATTTTGCCAGGCAGAGGGGGGCTCCACCGCACCAGGCCCAGGTTGAGGCTTGAAAATAATTTTTGAATCATGAGGGTAAAATCAAAACAATCAAAAAAATTTAAACACCTCTAGCCTACAGTCAGGGATCCAAAAGCCCCACCCGAGCCCGGGCATCCCTCTGCCCCTGAAACCCATCCGGGCCCTGAGTGCTCTTGGTGCCCTGAAGCGAGGGGTGAGCCCTGGACTGCGCTGGGGCGGGCACAACTCGTGAACTTTTGTACTCTTGTGTGCTGCTGTCGGCAAAGCAAAAATAATGAAACTTTGTGATATGTTTGTAAATGATTTCGAGTGACCCCTTGCCCTGCCCTTCACCATTAGTGCGCCGGCCCCTGCGCCAGCCCCAGCCCAGGGCAGCTCGGTGCCTGCAAGCAGCGCCTGCCTCGGGGTCTGCAGCAGCAGCCGGACGGAGAAGCCAGCCGGGCTCAGGGCCCTGGAAGGTAAATGCGCGACTTCTTGGAGAACTAGCTTTGTCAGACAACCTGGCTTGCCCTGACAGTGGGCAGAAGAATGAGCAGAGGATATTCCCTCTTGCCTCTTTTTTTTCTGCCATTGAGGGCATTTGCTCCTTTCTGGAAAATACCACTTGCTAAGGGAGTGGGGGTTATGTGGATCCAGAGAGGGGGGTAATAAAGCCGCCATTTCTGGGATGGATTATTTTTCTTCTTTTCTTTCTTTCTTAAGAAGACTGTCCTGACTCCTTGGCTGCTTGGTAACCCCGGCCCTGGTACAAGGATGGGGAACTCATTGCTGCAAATTGCCACCAAGCGCTTCAGGCTACCTGAACCATCTCTGAAAGGCAGGGTGGCTGCGTTGGGCTGGTGGCGGCTCCGAGGAAGAGGCGGGGGCTGGCAACAGTCTGGGTACTCGCTCTGGGTGGAACCCGGAGGTAGTAACGTTGTCTATATATACCCTGTAGAACCGAATTTGTGTGGTATCCACATAGTCACAGATTCGATTCTAGGGGAATATATGGTCGATGCAAAAACTTCACATTTCTCCGCAATAGCCAGAATTAGAACTGGAGGCCAGAGGCAGCCGGCGGGTCAGTCGCCTCTTTCTGTTTTATTACTTTGGACTCCAGGAGGATTGTCTGAGCCTGGTGACATAGAGCAGCCTTCTCCTGGAGAAGCTCCTCACCTTTAAACAGGGCCCCCTGTGTAAAACCCTAATTGGTTGCATGAACGCAGGGCCAGAGGGTTAGGTTTGGGGGCACTGGGGAGCAAGGTGGGAGTCCAGGTCGCCCCAGCCCCAGGTCTGCCCTCCAGGGGCATAAAGTTGGAGGGTGCCCAATGAAGGGCCTCATTGGCCGTTACTGCCATGTGAGAAGAAGGTGAGCTGGGCAGAAGGAGTTTAGGGTCCTTTGGGGTCCATTTGGGTGAGCTGGGGGTGCCCTCACCACCTTCCTGGGCTACCCTTCAGCTGCCCTGGCTAGAGCATCACGGGGGCTTCTTGCCATACCAGCAAGGGCCAAGATTTGGCTGGAAACACCCCGGCCTCGAAGAAAGCTTGGCAGTTACTCATTGCCTAATTTGATTCAGGCCAGCCAGATTGTAGTAACTTTTGGGTGACCCTGATGAAGACAAAGCCGGGATTCGGCCTTTGTATGGCAGAGTCCCCGCTCCGCAGGCTGGGCGGGCGGGAGTCCTGCCTGCCTGGGGTTCTCTGCCCAACTCAGAAGCCACCTCTTCCGCCCACTTTTTGATGCCATGCACCCTGACAGATATGAGGACTCCTTCCCCCTTGAACTGTGCCCATTTTGGGGGGCTGATTACAGGCGGGGTGAGTGGCGGGGGCACTGGAGGTTAGCAAAGTCAGTGGCAGACAAAAGCTGGGGTTACCTGTGGGGAATGAGGATGCTGGGATTAGAACTACTTTAACATCTGGCAGGGGCCCTCAAATGTGCCACGGCAAGTCACTTGATTACACGTATGTTATTTAGTTAAATTTGTGAAAATTATGAGATGCTCACCAACCCGGTGATAAACTCACTCCCTCGCTATTGGCTGGTCTGGTCACATGGCCACCAACTTTATTCAGTTGACAGCAAGTAGGAGGGCCCTATGGAAGGAGAAAAAAAGACAACACGAGAAAAATTAGTATTTTCTACCTTCTGAAATTAATGGCCATGAGTTCGTATATGGTGAACTCCAAGTATGTGGACCCCAAGTTTCCTCCGTGCGAGGAATATTTGCAGGGTGGCTACCTAGGCGAGCAGGGCGCTGACTACTACGGCGGCGGCGCGCAGGGGGCCGACTTCCAGCCCCCGGGGCTCTACCCACGGCCCGACTTCGGTGAGCAGACCTTCGGAGGCGGCGGCCCCGGGCCCGGCTCGGCACTGCCCACGCGGGGTCACGGGCAAGAAGCCGGCGGCCCCAGCGGCCACTACGGTGCCCCGGGAGAGCCGTGCCCCGCGCCCCCGCCCCTGCCCGGCTCCCGGGCCTGCAGCCAGCCGGGCGGCCCCAAGCAGCCGCCCCCTGGGACGGCCCTCAAGCAGCCGGCCGTGGTCTACCCGTGGATGAAGAAGGTGCACGTGAATTCCGGTAAGGCACGGGCCCAGGACCTCTCAGTCTCCACCCCAGCCCGGCGGCCTGGGCCCCGCGAGGGGGTGCGAGTGGGTGGGGGCGTGTGGGGCTTCAATGGGCGCCGCAATTACTCTCTCCATAAATTTTTATAGCCGAGGGAGCAGGCCGGGACCATGTGGCTGGCTGCTTGGCTCTGGGCGCAAAAGGGGGTGGAGATGGGGGTGGGGTGGGGGAGGACTCCATTTTCAGAGCGGAGGGAACGCGGTGGAAGAGGGGATTTCCAAAATGCCTGGGAATGCTGGAGCGGGAGGTGGGCTGGGGAGATGGGGGCACTTTTGGGGATCCCCGCCCAGGAGCCCAGGGGAGCAGGTGGGTCCGAGGGGTTGGGTGGGAGTTAGAGTGTGCGCCTGGGAGGGTGGGCGGGCGAGAGGCAGGGAGTGGGCCAGGAGCGCGCGGGGAGGGCCCGGGCCTCGGGGCGCGCCAGGAAGTGAGCGGCTGTGGCCTAATCCGAGGCCGGGCGCTGACCTGAGTGTTCGGTCTGCTTGTCTCGCAGTGAACCCCAACTACACCGGCGGGGAGCCCAAGAGGTCCCGGACGGCCTACACCCGGCAGCAAGTCCTAGAACTGGAAAAGGAATTTCATTTTAACAGGTATCTGACGCGGCGCCGTCGGATTGAAATCGCTCACACCCTGTGTCTTTCCGAGCGCCAGATCAAGATCTGGTTCCAGAACCGGAGGATGAAGTGGAAAAAAGATCACAAGCTGCCCAACACGAAAGGCAGGTCCTCGTCGTCGTCGTCTTCATCCTCCTCCTCCTCCTCTTGCTCCTCCTCAGCTGCCCCTGGCCAGCATTTGCAGCCGCTGGCCAAGGACCACCACACGGACCTGACGACCTTATAGAAGTGGGGACCCTGGGCCCATCCCTCCCTGAGCTCCCGGCTGAGCCGAAGCTGCGGGGGCAGGCCGGGCCTGCTGTCACCTCCCTGGGCTCTAAGGTACTGTAGGGTGGACCTGGGACAGGCAGGCCTACCTCGGACTAGGTTAGCACCCTGCCCGAGGGTAGCCCCTCCCTGGAGCGGGGATGGGGGTCGGGGGGGGCGGGATTCTCTCTCTAAGTATATTATCAAATGGCAGGAGCTACTGAGAACATAAAACCTTGGCGAGTCATTAAACTCCTGAAAATCTCCGCTGTTGGATTTTGAATTTGCAAATGAAGGTTGGATGCTTTATCCCAGTGTGAATTTGAACATCCTCCCCGCCCCCCCCCCGCCCCTCCAGGGATCTTTGTGGTTTCATAATGTGGGCGTGTTGAGGCAGAAGGCTGGCCACCCTTGCGCTAGGTGCTTTCAGTGGAAGCAGGAGGGCTGGGCCAGGATTTCTGAACTTTCTGGGTTGTCTGTATAATTTCCAGTGTGAAAAAAAATTTTTTTTGCTCCCAGTGGCCCCATGCCCAAAGAAATGAGTCTAAGAAGGAAGTGCAAACGGGTTGTTGTATGTTTAGATTATATTTCCTTAAGTATTTATTTGTTGGGGAATTGGGGTGCAGAAATAACTGACATCTTATTGCCAAAAAACTTACCATGGTGAAAGGGGCTGGGTTTCAGGGAGCAGAATCAAGAGATGCGTGGACTTACTTCTGGCTGTAACCGGCATTTTGAACTCCACCCCCTCCCCACTCCCCGGAAATGTGTGTAGGGGGCCCTTAACCCTTCTAGAGGGAAGCAAAGGATCCACTCAAAGTTGAGTTCCTGAAAATATATTTCCACATGTGCTTTTCTCAGCACTGTGCTTACAACCAGTTCTGGGTGATTAAAGGAAAGGGAAAAAAGAAAGAAACAAATGGTCCAACATTTTCCTTCTGGGGAAAGAAAACAAAACCTCTGTGTTCTGGGTCATTAGATAATGACTGAATTTTCTGTTCCAACTGGATTCCAAATGTCCCCAAATACCCCATATAGCAGTATTTTATAGGCATTGGTGTATGGCCTGCCTATATGAGAGAGGGAATGTGCATTGGGGAGAAAGTGGGAAGGTGAGGAAGTCTTGCTGTAAAAAATGAAAGAAAAACTAATTGAATCTAGAAGTCCACGAAAGTTGGTCTTAGGGTTTTTTCCCTAAGTTTTAATTTTTTAAAAAACAAATCTAAGGAAGTTTTCCTCAACCCATTAATTAGCAGAATTTGTGAAAGTATAAAAGTTTTCAGGCCCTCTCCTCTCCCTTGCCTTGAGAATAGTGGTTTAAAAACAATCGCTCTCAAACAACAGGAGAGATGTTCTTTAGTCATTTTTCTTATGCCTTGCCTGGGAAGGGTTCAAAGCTCACTTTTCTAAAATGTTGACCCTTAAGGATAAGGGAAAGAGTCAAAGGTAATGGCCAGAGTTCATAGACTCAAATGAAACAAGGCTTCAGAAAATTAAACCGCAAAGCCTCGGGCTCCAAAAAGAAACCCCTGGTTGTAGCTACTGAAAAGTCACAAAAGTGGGGAGGGAGAGGGGGCGAGCTTGAAAAGGAGATTCAGAATTGGGGCTATTTTTTCAGTGCTTGAGAACACTTTAGAAGATTTCAGAGGTAATTTTTAAAATATATTTAAGTGTAGGGGGAAAAAGACTTTCTCTACAGGCATATTCTTTGGTTCTGTGTCTCCTGAGAGCTGAGGGCAGGTATTCACTGGAGTCCCTAGGCTGAAATTCCACTTCTCTAAAGTGTCTTCCAAGCCTTGCTCTTTTGTATTAGACCCTAGGGACAGCTCTTTGTTCCTCCTTGGGGTGAGCCTGGCTCTCAGACTTGCACATGGCAATACTTGAATATCGCCACGTCGGGATATTAAAGATGGATATTCCTGCATTATTCGCATCATTGTTTCTATGACAAAAAGCACAGAGTTCATACATAGTCAAGACGTCTTTTTTCTGATGCCCTCACGTTGAGAAGCTGAAAAGGTATTTTACTGAAGTTCGGCTAAATTACAGAATCAGGTTCATCCAGAGGACAAATTTTCTATTCGATTAGCTGTATTTCAGCCAGGAGGACTGACCTCTAAACCCTTAACCTTTTGGACTCTAACTACCCTTCTCTTCTTTTTTTCCCCCTCGAACATGGAGAGCAGTCTTTGGATGTAGGATTTGAAAAGGGCCGCTATCCTTAGGCAAGTTGGAAAGTTGCTCAGATTCTTTCCTAAAACCCGAATCTGTGAATACATTGAACCTTCTCCTTGGGAGGGGGTAATATATATTTTCACAACATCCAACTACATATGTATTGCAAAGATTATTATATAGATTTCCCCCTTCCCAGAAGTTCAGGTTACTCACTCCAGCTTCAGACCAAATGCCAAACTACTTAACTGCCTTCACCCCTGCCCCAGAGGAAAGCCAAGAGGCATGTTTTGATGAAGAAAACCCAAGGTCCTTCTTAAAAATAGCCCCACTACTTTGGAAAGTAACTTAATCAGAGAAACAACTTGTTTGTTTATAAGTCTCACTTCTCCTTCTCCTCTTCTAGGGATTGTCTTTTGAAATGTTAATGGAGCCTGGATGGCCCAGAGGGCGGCCCTCAACCCTGAGGTCCCAATCGGACCCCAGCGTCCATTTGGGCCCACAGGAGTGGGGCAGGGAAGAAGCAGGGCCCCCCAGTCACCTAGGGCAGGGAAGGAAATGAGTTTCCATCTGGGAACGTACTCTGGAGAAACCTAGATGTAGGAAGCCTCAGTGCCCATTTGCTTTTATTTGTTTCCAGTTTGTTCCCCCAAATATGAGCCAGAAGTGTTTGTTTTGAGTTTTTTCAATGGTATGTTGGGGTCGTGACTGGGGGGAGTGAAGTGTTTGGCGAGGACATTGCTCCTCAGACTCCCATCTCACTTTGTCCATTGCAGCCTTTTGTTGGGCGATGACATTGTCAGTCAGCCCCATGGTGTCTGTTCACACAAGATGCTTTTTTAATAGAATTGACCAATGTTTTGCTGCCACTGATTAAAGTATTATTTATACTAATTGTTGCCTGTAGTTTTGATGTAATTCATTGATCTATATTTGAAATAATAAAAGGTGTAGCGAAATCTCCCTCCTGTTTGGTGCCTCCACAGAAGCATTCTTCATTAGGTCTTCTAAAAGCTAACATCCAATATAAACAATTTATTATTTTCTGTAATGTGCCTGATGTGTGAAGGTTAAACTGTGTAAGCCTTAGCAGTTCTACCATTTTCCCCCTCCCCCATACCTACACTCCCAATTTGGCCATCATATGTTGTGAGAATTGGGAAGCCTAAGGCTGGATTCAGGCTGCAGCGGGGTGGACATTATTTTTTAAAAGGAAAATAAGTACCTTCCCGGGCTAAAAGGAGGCTCCAGTTTGGCTCTCAGCATGGCCCGGATCAGCCCCAGGCCCCCTCGGTCTCTCTTTGTGACATGGTGGGTGAGAGAGATCTCCTGGACCCCCAACTCTGAGGGCGTGTCTGGTGCTGGGTTCTGGGCCAACCTGGGGCTGGCGGGTGGCTGCTCGGATCTCACCCCTCTGGCCTCCAATCTTGGGCTCCTTCTACTTCTCCCGTGCTGTTCAGCCCCACCGGGGCCTCCAGCACCTGCCCCTCCTCCCCCGAGTGCCCCCTCCGCCCTCCAGACCACAATAAACACTCCCCACTATAAAAAGTGGCGTGTGCTGTTTTTTTCACGAGGGCTTTTCTCGTCTTGGCTTCGCCTTGAGGAGGGGGCCAAGACAGGAGTCCCAAAATAGATGGGAGGGGGCCTTACTCGCGACAGGAAATGAGCAGAATGCATAAAATCAGACATGTGTCCTTAATATATGGAAGGGCTCGCCTCAGACGCGTGGACATGTGTATTTATAAGTGCGCAGACAGAAGTTTAAATATTCAGACACATTTTATGATTGTTCTCTGCCCGTCTTCTGGTTAATGGCTCCTCCTGTGCCCACCAATACATCAGTACGGTTGTGTGTATTGAATCGCGGGCAGGGATGAGGAGGAAGCGAGTGCACAGCTGAGCCCGCCGGAGTACAGTACAGTAAATCGGGACCCTCGGCAGGCTGCGCTTCCCGCGCGCCCGCCATGTTGGGGAGCCCTCCCTGCCCCCCGCGCCGGGCTGGGCGGCCGGGGCTCGCCGCCAGCCGGGGGAGGGCCTTTCATAACCCGGAGAATTTTCAAAGTGCGAGGAAGATGATAAGAATAGATTTCTACAAGTCCCGACCACGTGATTGGTGAAATAATTAATTCAGCACGTCCCTTAAGAAACACGGAGTCGTCATTAATCTGCCACGCAAAGGGCTCTCTCCGACTTGGAAAGTGCAGGGATCCCAAGAATATCACCCGCCGAGGGGGGCCGTGCGGCGCCCCCAGCCCTCCACCCTCGGCCCCAGGCGGCGGGCGCGGGAGCGCGGCCGGCAGGTAAATATTTTCGCGACTTTTATTTATTCTGATTTAAATCCTTAATGAACTTAGCTGTCAGGCCACTGACAAATAGTTCCCTTTGCTTCCTGATTTGGAACCGTGCGCCGGCGAGAAGTTGTTAGTGGCTTGGATGGTGACCTTTGGTTCAGCAAAGCTTTGCACTTATGAAAAATTACTGAGAGCCGCCGAGTGTGTGTGTGTGTGTGTGTGTGTGAGAGCGAGCGAGCGAGAGAGAGAGAGAGGGTGTGTGAGGGTGTGCGAGGGTGTGCGGGGGGCGAGGGTGCGCGCGGGCTGCTCAGAGGCGACAGGAGTAGTAAAAACCCGCCCGGCTGGGGGACGCGCCTGGCGCACGCGGGCCGAGGTTGCTCGGTCGCCTGTGTCTACCGGGAACAATGGTCGCTGTCACGGCATCTGCTGCCTATTCTTAAACCGGTGAGAAAAGGCCTCGGCCCTCTTTTCAAGCGAGGGTCGTAAATTTTTCTTTGCGTCATAATGGAAGGCTATAAAATCGAGTTGAAATTTTACCCCAGGCAGGTTTCAACCAACAGATAATGATTTCCGAGTTGCTTGTCCCACTACCCACCCACGCACCCACGCTCTGCTGCTTCTGTCACCCCAGCAAGGAGTTTGCCCCTCTTCCCCTCGATTTTTGTATCTTTAATTTGGGGAGATCTAAAATAAAGACAGGGAGAAGTCCCCGCCGCCCGAGGAATGGGAGACCCTGGGGTGAAGGGAAGAAGCCTCGGGGGAAGGGAAACGGGGTTGGGGGAGAAGAGGCCAGGGTGAGA